CATCTAATAGAACCTAGTACATAGTCAGTCATCAAAGTTTATTATCATTTAATAGAACCTGGTACAGAGTTAGCCATCAAAGTTTATTATCATCTAATAGAACCTAGTACATAGTCAGTCATCAAAGTTTATTATCATCTAATAGAACCTGGTACACAGTTAGCCATCAAAGTTTATTATCATCTAATAGAACCTAGTACACAGTTAGTCATCAAAGTTGATTATCATCTAATAGAACCTGGTACACAGTTAGTCATCAAAGTTTATTATCATCCAATAGAACCTGGTACATAGTTAGTCATCAAAGTTTATTATCATCTAATAGAACCTGGTACACAGTTAGTCATCAAAGTTGATTATCATCTAATAGAACCTGGTACACAGTTAATCATCAAAGTTTATTATAATCTAATGGAACCTGGTATACAGTTAATCATCAAAGTTTATTATCATCTAATAGAACCTGGTACACAGTTAGTCAGCAAAGTTTATTATCATCTAATAGAACCTGGTACACAGTTAGTCATCAAAGTTTATTATCATCCAATAGAACCTGGTACACAGTTAGTCATCAAAGTTTATTAACATCTAATAGAACCTGATACATAGTCAGTCATCAAAGTTTCTTATCATCCAATAGAACCTGGTACATAGTTAGTCATCAAAGTTTATTAACATCTAATAGAACCTGATACATAGTCAGTCATCAAAGTTTATTATCATCCAATAGAACCTGGTACACAGTTAGTCATCAAAGTTTATTAACATCTAATAGAACCTGATACATAGTCAGTCATCAAAGTTTATTAACATCTAATAGAACCTGATACATAGTCAGTCATCAAAGTTTATTATCATCTAATAGAACCTGGTACATAGTTAGTCATCAAAGTTTATTAACATCTAATAGAACCTGATACATAGTCAGTCATCAAAGTTTATTATCATCTAATAGAACCTGGTACAGGGTTAATCATCAAAGTTTATTATCATCTAATAGAACCTGGTACATACTTTGATGACTAACTTGGATGATAATAAATAGAACCTGGTACACACTTTGATGACTAACATTATTATAATCCGACACTCATCTATTACTTACTACCAAAATTCCGCTTATTTGTATTATTATTTCTGGTTCTCTCTCTGGTTGTTGGTGTTCCGTGAAATAACGTCGGTATGCAAAATGTATTTTCTATACATGCAGAAAGTTTTGAAACTGTAAATATACAAACAAAAAATATGGTAAACTTTATCTGTTACTTCTTGTGACGTAACATGTTATCAGTCGTGTAACATCCAGACCACAAGAAATTCCTAATTATAAGAACTTCGTTGAATATAACCTGGAACAAACAGTAACAATGAATTCTGATACTTTTCTCGCTCACCTTCTGTGCTTTACGTTTATCCGCACGCTGATTTTGATGATAGATACGAGAAAAGTTCGAAACTATAACCGGAACCGGAAGTGCAATAACTAGAACTCCGCTCAGTGAACACACGCCTCCTACAATTTTCCCCATAATAGTAGCGGGCACCATGTCGCCGTAACTAAAGAAATTTAAAAAAATACAACATGAATAAAAGTAATATATTGATGAATAACATATTTTAGTATTTCTCTAGATTAATTTTACAAATCAAAGCTACCTTTACATTTTAAGATTTAGGTTATTATTTTGATTTTTTTTATTGTTTATAAAGTATAAAAACAACTTCGATGGACCAATGAAATGATAAAATAATTATTAAGTAATGTACTATTGGACGAATAGATTAATTATGACGTATGTAAAAGTTTAATGACATATTTTATTTTATCTTTAAACGATAAATCCCCATACAAATTATACAAGCCTATGATGAAATAGTTAAAATATACAGCAGTCCCCTTATGTACGCTTATTTTAGATATAGTGTCCCTGGTGGAGAACCAGTGAACTATACGGAAACATTCGAATGTTGTAAATTAAGTATCTAACACATACTCACTATATCTCGCGTTGAGTGTTTCTGATGTTCTGGTGGTCACTACCTGTTGTGTTGAGTGTTTCTGATGTTCTCGTGGTCACTACCTACTCACTACCTGTTGTGTTGAGTGTTTCTGATGTTCTTATGGTCACTACCTACTCACTACTTGTTGTGTTGAGTGTTTCTGATGTTCTTATGTTCACTATCTGTTGTGTTGAGTGTTTCTCATGTTCTTATGTTCACTACCTGTTGTGTTGAGTGTTTCTCATGTTCTTATGGTCACTACCTGTTGTGTTGAGTGTTTCTCATGTTCTTATGGTAACCACCTGTTGTGTTGAGTGTTTCTCATGTTCTTATGGTCACTACCTGTTGTGTTGAGTGTTTCTGATGTTTTTATGGTCACTACCTACTCACTACCTGTTGTGTTGAGTGTTTCTCATGTTCGTATGGTCACTACCTGTTGTGTTGACTGTTTCTCATGTTCTTACGGTCAACATCTACTCACTACCTGTTGTTTATAAGTTTTCTGCTGATGCTACTGTTTTTTTATGTTACAGTCGAGTTGATCGTGCCTTATACTTAAAATTAATGTAATTTTACACTATCAAACTACTATCTTGTAGTTGAAGTCATGTTTAATTTTAAATCTGTTACCAATTACAACTATCTCAATTAATATTACACTTGCAATCTTTTACAAACTATTTGAGTTAATATTACACTTCAAATGTTTTACAAACTATTTGAGTTAATATTACACTTCCAGTCTTTTACAAACTATTTGAGTTAATATTATACTTTAAATATTTTACAAACTATTTGGGTTAATATTACACTTCAAATCTTTTACAAATTATTTAAAGTAATATTACACCG